GAAGGGATTCTACAAGTACATAGCAAATAAAAAACAGACTAGGGAGAATGAAGGCCCCTCAGGAAGCTCTCAGGAGAACTGGCTACACAGGATTTGGAGAAGACTGAGGTTCTGAATGACTTCTTTGCCTTGGTCTTCACTGGCAAAGGCTCTGACCAAACCACCCAAGTCTTGGAAGGCAGATGCAGGGACTGTGAGAATGAAAACCTTGCGCCCACTGCAGGAGAGGATCTGGTTCGAGACCATCTTAAAAATCTGAATGTGCACAAGTCCATGGGTCCTGATGAGATCCATCCGCGGGTCCTGAAGGAGCTGGCAAATGAAGTTGCAAAGCCATTGGCCATCATATTTGAGAAATCATGGCAGTCAGGTGAAGTTCCTGATGACTGGAAAAAGGAAAATATAACCCCCATTGTCAAGAAGGGGAAAATGGATGACCCGGGGAATTACAGAGCAGTCAGTCTCACCTCTTTGCCTGGCAAAATCTTGGAGCAGATTCTCCTGGAAGGCATGCTAAGGCACATGAAAATCAACAAGGTGCTTGGTGACAGCCAGCAGGGCTTCACTAAGGGGAAATCCTGCCTGACCAATTTGGTGGCCTTCTATGATGGGGCTACAGAACTGATGGACAGGGGTAGAGCAGTTGATGTCATCTACCTGGACTTGTGTAAAGCGTTCGACACTGTCCCACACGACATCCTTGTCTCTAAATTGGAGAGACATTAATTTGATGGATGGACCACTCGGTGGATAAAGAACTGGCTGGATGGCCGCACACAAACAGTTGTGGTCAACGGCTCAGTGTCCAGCTGGAGACCAGTAACGAGTGGTGTCCCTCAGGGATCGGTGTTGGGACTGGTCTTGTTTAACATCTTCATCACTGACATGGACAGTGGGATTGAGTGCGCCCTCAGCAAGTTTGCCGATGACACCAAGCTGTGTGGTTCGGTTGATACCCTGGAGGGAAGGAATGCCATCCAGAGGGACCTCGACACACTTGTGAGGTCCCTGATGCCAACCTCATGAAGTTTAACCATGGCAAGTGCAAGGTCCTATACCTGGGTCGGAGCAATCCCAGGCACAGCTACAGGCTGGGCAGAGAAGAGATTCAGAGCAGCCCTGCGGAGAAGGACTTGGGGGTGTTGGCTGATGAGAAAATGAACATGAGCCGGCTTCAGTGCGAGCTTGCAGCCCAGAAAGCCAACCGTATTCTGGGCTGCATCAAAAGGAGCGTGACCAGCAGGTCAAAGGAGGTGAACCTGCCCCTCTACTCTGCTCTCATGAGACCACACTTGGAGTACTGGGTGCAGTTCTGGTGTCCTCAACATAAAAAGGACATGGAACTGTTGGAACAAGTCCAGAGAAGGGCCACAAGGATGATCAGGGGACTGGAGCACCTCCCGTATGAAGACGGGCTGAGGAATTTGGGGCTGTTCAGCCTGGAGAAGAGAAGGCTGCGTGGAGACCTCATAGCAGCCTTCCAGTATCTGAAGGGGGCCTATAGGGATGCTGGGGAGGGACTCTTCATTAGAGACTGTAGTGACAGGACAAGGGGTATAAACAGGGGAAGTTTGGATTGGAGGATAAGGAAGTTTAGATAAGGAGGAAATTCTTCCATGTTAGGGTGGTGAGGCACTGGAATAGGTTGCCCAGGGAGGTTGTGAATGCTCCATCCCTGGCAGGGTTCAAGACCAGGTTGGACAAAGCCTTGGGTGAGATGGTTTAGTGTGAGGTGTCCCTGCCCATGGCAGGGGGGTTGGAACTAGATGATCTAAAGGTCCTTTCCAACCCTAACCATTCTATGATTCTATGATTCTACCACCACAGAATAAACCACCTGGAAGCCCTACAGTACAGTTACATGTGGTGGCCTGAGGTACTTTTAACACTTACCCATTAATAAAAGATATAGATCTACTACCTCAGCCCACCCTTTATTCCTGGTTGAAGAGTAAATATATAATCGTTTTACATTCACAGCAGCTTCCTTCCCACTGAGCCCTCTTCAGTCAGATCCATACCCACCATCACACTACAACCACCACTTCCGCCCCACATCAGCTTCCCAGTGTTGAATTCCTGACCTGCATAATGGCTCTGCAGGGCTCAGACAGGTGCCTTCGCAAGGTAAGGAGAAGGACTGTGAAAAGCCACCCTGCTGACGTCCAACCAGATTCAAGTATATATAAAAGGCACTGCAGCATTTTTGTTGTGGAGATTTATGCCACTAACTATAAGGCTATATACCCAACATCACATATATTACTTACCATGAAATGTGTACAGCTGTATAAGTATACACAGCAACTACAAAGCACTAAGAGAGCTATATAAAGTGACTGATGTAACCTTGCAACAACTGTTGCTATTGGTTATGCTGCAACCAGTCTACAACATACTAGCTCATGAAAAATCAAATGCTACTGCTACCCCTGCATTAATGTTAACCTGCTACACCTTGGCTGACATTAAGAATTTCAACTGAAGAACCCAAACCAGGCTTGGTTTACCTTACAGAAGCAACAAGGAATACACTCATTAAAACTGCATTCTGCACAAAGCTACCTAACTTACTAAAAAACTTTCTCCAAAGAACCACATGAGATCTTAAATTGCTCAAATCATTAGTAAAAAGTGATTAGCTTTTCAGATACACTGGTTTCTAAAGCTGTTTATTTTCTGTGTTTTGTACATTGTACTTCAGTTGAACTTAATTTCAAGGAGTTTAAACTAAAGCAGGAAATTGGTCCTCAGCAGCGCAGCCAGATTCATCCTCAGCATCTAGAGGACAAACTAACAACAAAACAAAACTGAAGAAGTCCTCCTTGCCAAAGAACATAATTCTGGTTTCTCATTACTGTTTTGCTAAAATAATTTAATTAGCAGCCCTCGGACACAGGAAGTCATTTATGCTTCATCAGGAAAAGAAGGGCTGGAGGGGTGTGAATGGTACGCACTGTTCTAGCGTACCAGGAACACAGCATTGAATTCTTCCAGCTATCAGGCCAAAGCTGGATTGGCATACCAGAACTAAGCACTTTTTTAATCCAAAGGACAGAAAACAAAACACACACCATTTTTTTTGGCAGTCTAATATTTGCATACTCTTACACACATAACTGCAAGTAAGAAACAATTCAGCTGTGGAGCAGGGCTAAGGTACAATAGCTGAACTGGATATTGTGCTTTCCCATCCCATGCACAAATTAAAGTCCTAAAACCACCCAGTCCACATCTTTCATTACATTCTGCTTTTGCGGGCGCTGACATTTGTCATTAGGGAGTCCCATAACTGAGGCTTTTATATGTAGCTATTTACGCCAATTCCCCTAGGTTACTCCATGCGACAGCATATTTGATTCCTGCAATAAAGTAGTAGTCTAGACTAATTTCAACATACGTTTCCTCTTTAGAGGAAGGCTGCTTAACAGCGAGACTGTATAGTAGATCTCCAGGACTGCAAAGGCTCCTACAAAAAACAAGTATTCCCCTTCCCTAAAACTAGCTGTTTACTACGGTTTACTGCCTCCAAGCACTTAACTGCTAATCAGTACCATGTACAAATACCCTATGTAGGCACGAGCCTATGCGTTTTCAAATCCTTGTTATGACAGCACTTCTACCATCGAATCAGAAGAGCATTATCCACAACCCTAGCTCAAATTTCTCATTACTGTAGGAGCAACCAGCTACTGAACACGAAACTGAAGTACAGTTTAGCTTGAAAATCCATGGAATTTGGGAATAAACTGCTTCTCAACCCCTTTCTGGCACAGATATCATCTGTATTCATCTGTACACAGATATTTCTACAGCTCTCCAGTCCATTTTAGCCATATATAAGTAATTCAGTAGAGCCAAACCGTATTTTAACTTCATCAGCATAATCCACCAGTGGATAAAATAAGCCAAGTTTAAATGAACTGGCAGGGTTTGAATTGCTAGTTGAGATTAGCTAAAAATATTCCCATGATGCCTAAACCCAAATAGAAACCTGCTCCATCTTCCAGGGCAGTATCAGTTCTGCAGTCCCAACAGGTGTAAAAATAATTCATCTTTGTCACTAAACTATATGAATATGCAGGAGGCAGAGGAGAGCTGTCAACAGACAAGAGGCCATTGTACATAAATGCTTCCACACTGCAAACCAAATTTAAAGGTGCCAGAGTACCGAGCCATCAGGAGCCAGTTTCTTTACCCAGAGATTTCCAATGATCCTATAAATTCAATACTGTTCATCCCTGTATTTCATACGTGAAGTGCTTCAGCTGTATAAGGAAGACTTTGAAACTCAGCCTGTACTGAAAGACCAGCCTTCCTTGAAAAAGTGGCTTTAAAGTAGGAAACTAGTCAGATAGTGCCTGGGTACAAAAATCACATTTGTTTTGATTTAGTTCCTCAAATCCTTTGAATACCAGTTCAGTACACATACACTATAAAACACTCATGAGAAACTGTCACTTTCACTCAGGCACATACTGATGAACTGCTATTTACAGCTACTGCCATTTAAGTGCCTTTTTATTGTAAATAGTGGGATTTGCAAGCACAGACACCAGGAGATCCTCAAGCTGCTAAAAGCTGCTGAATAAACAAGGGTAACCTGAGTGATTTTCCCCCACTGCTTCCTATCTGAACTGCACAGACTCAGCCCAGCACAGAAAGTTTCTTGTTTCTTGCCAGCCTCCAGCCTCTGCATTGGTGTTTTCTGGGTGGGAATTAAAAGGTGGCTTCTTTTCTTGTTGCATAAATAAATGCAGATAAAATGACCATTCCAAGCAAACACATCCTTCCTAAAGTAATTTTGCTGGAGCCTTTGGACAACACTGATTTATTTTCCCAGCATCTTCCCCTCCACCCCCCCAAAAACAGCCCTCCATGCCACAGGGCAAGCTGAACCCTAGCAACTCTAATGGCTTTGCATACTTATGCCTGAAGGCTGCAGGCTGGCCACAGCATAACAGATACCCACATGCAGGCAAAGAGACACATGCACTTACCCGAGAGATAGATAGAGGCACATTGAAATCCTTGCCCCCTTGAAGCCTGAAACCCCAGGGAGCCGGGCCGACCAAAGACACGCTGTAGTTGCTCATGTTGTTTAGTTTTCAAGAATCAAATCCAAAGAATTGATGCCTGTGGAAGAGTATTAGAGTTCTAATTTAAAGACTAAAAAACCAAAAGGCACTGTCTACCATTTTGAAAGCCTTCTTTATCTTTTCCCCCTCGTAGTATGAAAACAGCCAATAAATACACATCAGTTAGTCATTACTTGTGCTTTTATTCCTCATATGTTGTTTTCCTCCATAGCTTAGGAAGCAATGTAACTAGGGAACGTAACATAGACTTGGGACTTTGAGAACTTCCCAGCATCAGACACCTTGACAACTACTTCTCCCTAACGCTAACATGGGGGGGAAAGTGGGGGGACGCCCAGCACTGAAGTTCATATTAAAAAAGTTCAATGAAACAAGCATGAATTGATAGTATCCCTTAAATCCAAGTACGGAAGAAATTTGCACTACTGGCACATTCATTTCTAACAAAATGAATATCATATGCTTTTATGTCATCAGCTCGAAGCTTGTTTCTAAACATATTATGTCCTGACAGTTTCAAAACATCGCAGTTTTGAAGTTAATCAGAAGAAAATAAAAACCCTGTGACTTCTTTATTTTTATAGTATTAGCTTCATATTGGTAGAACAATGTAACAGACAAAATGGATCTTAAAACCAACCCTCAAATGAAAGCCATGAACTAAAGTGAAATACCCACAGCCACAACTTGGTACTGAGGAAGCAAAACCCAGGCATTTCCCTCCTTTTAAACTACCTTTAAAAGGCAGCTGAGGCACTTAATTGCTGTTCAGCATCAAAGATAAGGGCTTCAGTTTCGCCTCGGATAAGTAATGTTACAATGACATCTTAGGTAGTGGATGTCATCTATTTTTGTGTGGTTGAAGCCAGGCAGGAGCACACCAGGGTGAGCTGTTGTAAGACTACACCGGGGTACAGCCTGATTCCATACTCATATAGGGACATTTAAGGTGGACCTTTGGTCAAGCAGAAGCAAGCGGGCTGCAAACCCCATTGGGCTCCACCAGCCCACCCTCACAGACCATCAGAGCAGGTCTGTCATGCAGCCTCTGTCAGTGCACGAACAGACATTTAACGTCGCCCCCTTAGAAACCCAGCAGTAACAGAGATTCATTGCTCAGATAAGTTTCCAAATCAAACGGTAAACTTCCTTCCCACCAATGGCCACTCAGGTAACCAGAACACGGCTGTTGACATTAGGCAGAGCAATATATATATTAGGAAACTGAATTCAGAGTGGGTATTCAGCCAATTCCTGATGTGCCTGTTGGCATCCAGCAAAAGGACAGCTCTGACCCTAGGTGCCCAATAAACCCACCTCTTAAAAGTCTAAACAAGCACCAATGTACAGAGGGGAAACACACAGCTGCTGAGCTTTTATGTGGCTGAAGAGGAAGAAAAGAAACAAAAAGCCTCCACCAAGTTTCAGCTAGGATTCCTAGGGGGCTCGCTCAACACTAAAGCTAGGCTACAAGTCATTTAATAGCTGTGCGCACCAAATCCCTTATAAAAAGAGGACTTTAATTAATCACAGATTTCTTTCCATGTAAAAACACAAATTCTTTTCATTCCCTCTAAATGAAATCCATGGCAGTGACAGGTCACTATAAATTAGAGACTAGAGAAAAGCAAACCCCAGCTCGTGACCAGCACACAAGCAGTTCACTGGCACAGGCAGCACTTGTGCAGCTTTTCACTCTTTTTTTTAATTAACAGCTAATTACAATAACAGACCTAGGAAAAGATTAAACTCCATTAGAAAATACTACTGTTCTTTTCCACTTGTAGCAACTACAAACAGGGGGGAAGAGACTGCAGGCTGAAATACCGCGCATCACACTCAGCATCACTCATGTTTCCTTTCTAACCCCTCTATTCTGCCATGTCTGCATCTCCAGGCTTACACACACACCAGGGAAGGCATGGCAAACAAAAGAGACCCACTCAAAGTTTAACAGATTTCTTAAAACATGCTAAAGCAACACGTCAAAAGAAAGCATTGCAAACCCACCAACCCCACTTGCATTGCGCAAACCAACCAGCCAAGGGGTGAAGTTGTGCAACTTTCATTTAGATGATCAAACGCTTGGGGGTTCTACTTCTGGAAGGGGGAATTTCAAAACGCAGGCAGAAACGCTCTCCCGTCAGGGCACTGAGCCGCAGGGGCCCAGGAGTGGCCAGCAGATCGCAGTAGTGGCCAGCGGGGCCCCTCTACCCGCCTGACGGAGGGGCGCCAGCACAAAAGCCCGTACCCCCCGGCACCCCCTTTGCACAGCTTCTCCACCGAAGCCTCTAAGCGGTCCGGGACGAGAAGCCTCACGGCCACCGCAGGCTGGAGACCAGAACGCCCCACACAGGTCCAAAGTGCCCCACAGCCCCGATCTCGGTCCAGAGCGCCCCACAGCCCCGTTGGCTCCCCATCGGGTCGCAAAGCCTGTGGAGCAGGCACCCCAAAGCCCCAGCCTACTCGGCCCAGAGCAAGTAACCACACAGGTACCCCACGGCCGCAGGGCAGGGCTCCCCGCGGGATCCCGAGCCGCTGTCCTCGGGATCGGGCGCTGCCCGCGGCACTCCACCGACAGCTACAGCCCGCGACAAACCCGCTTTGAAAAAAAACTGCATTAAAAAGAAAGTAAATTGAGATAAGCACCGTGGGGCTGCAGAAACCCCGTCCAACCTGCCGACTCCTTATTCCACACTCACCCCGTCGGTGCGATGCAGGGCGCGAAGAACCGAGGACACCCGCTGCGCGTCTGGCAGGCGGTGGCTCCGTCCCCCCGGTCTTGTTTTCACTTCCGTCTCCAGCCGCTCCTCCCCCAGCCCTGCCCAGCCCAGCCCGGCCCGGCCCGGCCCGGCCCCGCAGCGACGGGACAGGACAGGAGAGCAGGGCAGAGCGGGGAAGGCCCTGAAGTGGCGCTCCCGGGCGGCCCTGGTCAGGTTATTGATTCAGTTTTAACAGGGAAATAAATGTACGTTTTTCTCCGGCTGCGCGCTACACACAAGTAACTCAAGGCGCACCTGTGAACGCGAGGGCGAGCAGGAAAGGGGTGGTGCTCACCGGGTGCCGCTCCGGTCCCAGGTCCGAGTAAAGAGGCTGCTGTGCTGGGCGAAGGAGGGAGGGAAGGAGCTCAACCCACAGAGTGCCCCCCTAGACACCCCCCCGCTGCGTCAGATGCACGATCTTTTCAGTAATCGGCGGCTACAGCTGCAAGGGCAGCCCGCAGCAGAGCAGACCTTAGAAAAAGAGAGTTCGGTTTAATGTGGGGGGTAACATGAGGACTGACAGTGATAAACTCACCTCCTGAAGCACATCAAGGTGGGGAACTGCAGCGAGGAGGAAGAGCTAGCTGTTCAACCTAAAAGTGCTGGCGCAAGAACAGATGCGTATAAAGTGGCCATGAATAAATTCAGCTAGGAGATTAGAAGAGGTCCACGAGCAGGGAGGAAAAGGAGCTTTCTGGCACAGCCTCTTCCTAGGAGCAGGTGCAGGAAGTCAAACTGTTTCTAAGGTGATGCTCGATCAGATTATGTTATATGACATGCTTGCATGAGAGCAGGAGAATTATTGAACACAGACCATCGATTTGACAATCCAGAAGCTCGCTGAGCAGGACAGAGGACAGACTCACTGTGAGAGCAGCTGCTGCCTCGCAGAACAGAGGAATTGGGTGAAGATGAAGCAATAGCACTTCAGTTTAGCGTAGCTGTATCTCACAGCTAGGTGAGGTTTGTGTCATACTTCATGTGTACTAAAAGTTACTACAAGTAGAAATGTTCTGAAAGAAACATGCATCTAGTTAACAGTGCCATCAGCACTACAATTCAAAGGATTTCAATCCCCTATTTAAGCATGGATTTACTGTGGAGAAACAGTGCAGAAGAAAGCTTTATATTCGTGTTTATCACCAGCCAACACAGCATGCAGTCCTTATCATAGATGGCCCTGCCTCAGACCTCTGTCCCCATCTAGGTGAGAGGCACTGTCCCTTGCTTTTGCTGCCACCTGCGCAGCCCAGAGGCCACGTTTGACAGCGTTTTGCCCATGCTACACAGGGTACCGATGCTATGCTGGGGCTTGAGACTGAAGCCCCAGGTGCCTGGGTGTGCATGAAACCAGGGCCTGTCCAGTCCTCCGAGCCCCGTTTAGGTGAACCTTAACCAGGGGTGTTTTAACATTGTCCCTCTGAGCTGTGTGTCTTCTCAGTTGCCATGACCAGGACAAACACATCTCAAAGCACATCACAAAAATAAAAGCATCTAAATCCCACACTAGTGAAGCCAAACCACTCTTTCAGAAATCTTTCTTCTTTACTCTGCTTTTTTCCTATTAAGTATCTCTAATCAGGCAAAACTGAAAATCCCCATTACACACACAGACTCTCTCACATGATTCTAATTCATGGAGGTAAAAATTCCCCAACCTAGGGATTTCTCATTGTGTCACAGGGCCCTTAGGTCACTCCCATGCTGTTTTATTTATTAGAGTAGAAAAAGCTCCAGGACCCCACTCTCCAACATGACTCACGTGACATCTCCACGGTCAGCGTGTCTCTATGCTGATTGCCTGGGTAGCAATCTGCTCTCAGCTCACCAGAGTGCACAGCCCATGGTTTGCTTCATTTTGCATTTAGCCACGCTAGGGAAAAACATCCTTTTCCACTTCAGTTCTCCAAAAGCCTTCAGCTTTTCTTGAAGTAGCAGCTTGCCCAAGGTATCTGTACATGCAGCATCTCAAGACCACGTTATATTAACTCATCAGGATTGACGTAGAACTTGCAGAGAGACTTTTGCTGCTTTGCGCTGAAGCAAGTTTCACCCTTGGCAAGCCCGCGTGCACTCTGCACCATACGCACCCATTGCACCCAGGCCAGCACCACTCCCAGCTCAAAGCTGCCAGTCTCAGCCTTAAGTCCGTCACCACTTTACTGCGGCGTGATCAGTTCGTAACAAATGAATCTGCCTCCATAGACAGGGCACAGAATTAGGGCACAGAATTAGAGGCAACTCATTAGTTTGAGATCCCTCAATTCTTGGTC